AAAAGTTTCTCCTTCTCTGTCCTCTTCCCCCGCCATCTTTTATCGATTGTTTACTTTCGCTGCAGTTTCTAAAGTCTCTGAATGTGCACTCAACCGCTTATACACGCCTTGGTAAGTTTTCCTCAACAGATTCCAATGCTTTCGCTTCCGCTCCCCCCATTTTTTCGCTTAAAAGTTCGTGCGCTTGGGAGGAGCCCCTCTCCCCGCTCATTTCACTTCTTGGTCCGTGGGGTGGGGAGCTTTATTTTTAAATTATCATAGACGCTTTACTCTGACTCACGTTCATATTGGTCTTCCGACCTCGTTTATTCTCTGATTCGATTGCTTGATCCCCAGCGCTTGTCCCAGTCAGCGTCACTAGATTCCATACGGACACTCGCAGGAGGGACCATCGGGACGGAGAGGCGCCTCAATTCCCCAGCATCGCGCTGGCGAAAAGGCAACCTCTCATAAGCCCCATGGCTAGAAGCCCTTCGCCGGGCCTCATGGGGGGCAACAAGCCTGCGTACCCCCTTCTTCCTGCTTGTGCGCAGCTCGCATCCCTGGGAGGTCTGGGAGATGTGACTGCTCAGCGTGCTGCCATCCACCGGAAGTTGACTCCGAGTAACCTGAGGAGGATCCCCTCCTCCTCTCATTTCCCCCGCAACCGCATTGGCTGTGTGGAGTGCAGGGAACTACGGTGAAAGTGGCGGGCTCCTGTTCAGTTCCTTATTTCTTTCTTCCTGGCTGACTTCATGCTTCCACGGTGACTTTGCCTCGGTCACACCCCCACCCACTGCCCTGCAGGGGGGCTTTCTGCTGCAACACTTCTCAAATTTGGAAGTGGCAGCCCACCCGGGGAATCAAACCAAAGGAGGAGAGGTGGGTGAGCAGACGGGATGGAGATGGCTGCCTTGCTGCCGCTGGTGGCTTGTGTGTGCCCTGCGTTGGTGCAACCATGCTGGACTGAGAAGGCGGGAGCTGAAGGAAAAACCCGGGAGGGGAAGCTGAGGGAGTGCTGTGTTTCTCTCTCCCTTGGCGGCCAGCTTCCTCAGCAATGAGGGCACAGGCGCATGCAAGCAAGTGAGGTCTGCAATCTTTCACTGGAGGGAGAAGGGGAGAAATCTCTGTCGTTGCAGGTTCAGCCACAGGACCCACAGCCCCCTGGCCGCACCTCACCTGCCAGCCTGTTCGCCTGGCTTCCTTGCACCGCTTCCTGCCGTGGCTTAGGGATGTGCATTCGGTTCGTCTGAGCTGAATGCACCCTCAAAAATGGTCCATTCGGGCCCCTTTTGGGCTGCTGTGGGCCAATTCAGATTCTCTGATCTGAATCGGCCCCAGTATATCCTATGGGCCATTGAAGTCAATGGCCAAAACATAGGGTATATTCTGGGGGGTGGAGGGGAGGTGGTTTGAGGGAGAGGCTCCATACTTACAGGGTAGCTGCTGGAGCCTCCCCCCAAGATACCCACCAGGTTTCAAGAACATTGGACCAGGGGGTCCAATTCTATGGCCCCCCAAACAGGTTGCCCCTATCCCCTCCATTGTTCTCTATGGTGGGAAAAAACGTTACTGAATATTTCCCAAATCTGAATACCATACCAGTTCTGGGATTCTATAATATTGGGAAATAGATATTTTTCAAGTTTCATATATCCAAATCTGAAAAATACCTGGGGGGGTGGTGGTTTTGTTTTGCACACCTTTAATGCTAAGTCTGGAGGGAGACTTACTGTAACAAGAGATTCCCCATGTAGTAGAAAGGAACTATAAGAGCCAACCCATCATGGTCATTAAAAAGAATATTTTTGGGGGGGGAAACAGCCTTCCTGTTCACATTGTACCTGTTGTATGATGACATGGTATCTCTTTCTTTGGCAAAAAGACTTCTACTGTTGCCCCCCCCCCTTTGGTGAGGGTAGCTTTTAAAATGTTCCCCCCCCCTGCATGTAGTAGACAGAAGTCGTAGGAAGTGTCACTTTGAAGATCTTAGTTGCCTGGGTAAGGGAGTTTTATGCCCCAGGCCCAAGTGCATTGTCCCATTTGTGGCTGTCCTCTCCCCCTCACCCCAACAGTGGCTCTGAAGATGTAGGTTCTGCTCTGTGGGATTACGGAATTGTTGTACTTATAGATCAGTAGTCTTTGCTGTTAAGCTGTAGTGAAATTTTGGATGTATACTTTGACATGATGCCTCGTGGCAGGTTTTTCTACATGGTTGATGAGTTTGCTGATCATTTTTACCAAGGCTTTTCTGCATGCTCTTCAAAATAATCTGAGATGTTTTCTGACATTGTAGAGTTAGTTCAAAATGAATTTATTCAATAGGGTTTTCTAGATTCCTACTACTGAAAGTGAATTGTCGTTCAATTATAGTTCTGTTCATTGAGTAATAAAGGGAGCTGCTTTCATATCATAGACTTACATTTAAATGTAGTTTAATTAAAGTGCATTCATTTAAATCTTTTTCCTTCATGTCATGGTACAGCCTTTTTAAAAAAACATTTCTGTCTTGCTTCTCTACTGAAGGATCTGAGGCAAGTTACAACTTTAAAAAAATTACAAATTAAAAACAAACTATAACATTGATGTTTAACTTTATACTGAAACTAATTGTCTAATGTTTTGAAAACTCTCTTAAATAATTTAGCCTATCAGAAGGGCTGAAAAGCCATCAAAGTAGTGACTTTCCTCATATCCTCAGGAAGACCATGACATTTTCTGCATATATCCCCTTGTGATACAAGATGCAGGCAACCCACCACCAAAAAACCCCTTCATCTGTGACTTCCAGAGGCATATTTCTGTGCTCCACATCCTGTGATCAGAGTCATGAATGTGTGTCAGTGTGTGGAGGTAAAATAAATGCATTCAGCATTTAATAGAGGGATAGGCTAAACCATGCAGTATTGTATGTTTCCCAGCTTTTCCCCTGGGAGAGAAGAGTGGTGGTTGAATTCTGTCTTTAAGAAGGTATTGTGTTAAAATAAAATCATCACATGGTATTTCTTGTGATGCCACTGCGCCTGGATGATTATAACTTTCTAAATTTCTACTCAACAGAGCCACAGTTATAGTGATTCTCATGGTGGGAAGAAGTCTTCCAGCTCACATAAAAATCTTTTGGTTAGTGGTCTTTATCAACGTTCATGAGTGGCTTCTCTATGCATTATATTTCCTATGTATGCTTGGTATATTGTTTATAAAAGCTCCATCTTAAGTCTTGCTGACTGGGCAGACTCATTGCCTACATTGTGATGGTAACTAAGCTGGTAGAGTCAAAGCTATGAACAATGATTAACAACAGGGATGGTAAACTTTGGTGAAGGGTGTGAAGAAATGCATTTTTTCTTTGGAGGTTTGAAATGTGTACAACCTTCACTCTGGACATAGAAAACAGGAGGGGGGAGGTCAGTCAATGGCTTTCCAGGCTCACCTCAGCTAACTCTTAAGTAATGCTAATAGATCTAGCAGGAGATATAATGGGTGGGTCAAGTTCTTCCCCCTTCTCCAAGCAGGGAACAGAAATTTGGAGGACTTTAGACAAGAGAGGCTCCAGGAATAATTGCCAGGAAGAAGCTGCAGGAAATGCTTTTCTAACCTGTCCTGACCTGGTCAGTGGGTGGGGAAGAGAGAGGTGATACAACTCAGGGGAGCAAGAAGGAAGGTCTCTTTGGTTGGTGTAGAGTCCATAAGCGCAGACAGAATTCTTAACTAATGAGCTAATTTTGACCATTTGCTGCCCCAGAGAGCTACAGAATGCTTCAAGTTAATTGAACTCTGTAGTGATCTGTAACTTCCGAAGCTTTAGGAGCCTGTCCTATTTTAACATCTGATAGGGCATGTATAAAGAGAGGGATAGAGGATTTGCATTTTACCCATTTTTGGGGAACCCCTTGCTCAATCTGGTGCTGTGCTAAAAGTATGCTTCTGAACGTTTTCTTTTTAATAAACACTTTATAATTTAAGAGGCTGGCAGTGTTTCTCTGTACCACATGGACCTCCACCATCTCGGACATTCTATTTTAAAAGGGGTGCTAGGGAAAAGGCATGTAGTTGTCAAGTGGCTATTCCTCCAAGGGCACACAAGGCAGTAAACTGTCCCCATGGTGACCAGGTGTTGGGCAGCGGGAGACACAGAGGCAAGGCCTCAGATCTTGGAAGGGAAGCTGGGAGTCCTAACCCTCCAAGCGGACAATTCCTTACAAAGGTCAGGTGGTGGTGGCGGGTTACCGGAGAGAGAGTAAAGCCTCTCCAGGTGTTGGCAAAACCATGGGGTGTAGGGTGGACCAGTGCCTGCAGGCCAGAGCAGGCCTATTCCACCACAAAGACCGTTAGAACTGTTTAGTTTTTCTGTCTTCTTGATTACACTGGGTTTCTTTATGTGGTTTTGTGCTGTCTCTTTTTTGAGACTTTTCAGAGGCTTTTTCAGTAGTTTACCTTAATATAAACACCATGAAAAACTAGAAATAAAATTCTTGTTTTCATTTATTTTCAATGAGCATAAGAATGCAGTTCATTAAGCCCCCTCAGTACTGAATGCTTGAAATTTTGTTGAGGAACAGCCTATATAAGGTCAGAAGCTTGAACCAAAGTAAACATCTGAAACTATTTCAGTGAATTATTGCAACACAAATGAAAGATGTTGAAATACAGAAAACATTTCAGAACAGTTCAATCTGGATTTTTAGGATAACAGTTTTTATGGACTGTAACTGGTTACTAGTGGTAAATTCTGTTAGAGCTGACTTAAATAACTGAGTTTTTAAAGAAACACAATAAGTTAGTCTGGTTACAATTTAACTTCCATTTAGAAAAAAAAAATGGCAGTTAATTTCACATTTTTAACACGTGATTAAATTTTTTATTTAAATATAATTAAATATGTTTTAAAATACTCTGCAGTTAGACACACATAGTCAGACACACATAGTAGATGATACCTGTAGGTCAGTAGAAAACATTAGTAAGGGCAACTGCCCTTTGTAAGTGTATACAGTACGAGGATCATCTTGTAATATATTGGTATGCTTTACATTAGGACTTATTCTCTGGACTAAATTTAATGCTACTTCACTGTTTTAGAACATCGTAAACTGTTGCATACATGCTGCATATTGGAGCAAAATGCAATATGTGTTTCAGTGTATATATTAATTTTTTTTTTGACAGAGTGGATTTTACCATGACCAAAGAAATTACAGCAGCCTTAGACATAGCAAACCACTTTCTACCTATCACCCTCGGGTTTGTCTGATTTTATTTTGTTCAGAGAGTGAAATCCTTTGAGACGAGCCTTTTCTTAATTAAGACTTTGAGCATGACCGCTAACATAACCATAGCAAAAAGCATTTGTGTGACTGTTTGGGGACTTAAATAAGATTGCAAAATGGCTACTGCTTCCTTTTGTTCTGTATATACTACTATTTGTGAAGTAAGTTAGGGTTGGAAGCAGTGTTCCCTCTAAGCTGAGTTAGTGTGAGCTAGCTCATGGTTTTTTAACCTCCGGCTCACACATTTTTGTCTTAGCTCAGGAAGGATGGCTCCAGAGCAAACTAATTTACGCAGGGGCCAAATTGCTCACTCACAGCTTTAATGCTAGTAGCTCACAATGTAGAATTTTTGCTCACAAGACTCCACAGCTTAGAGGGAGCATTGGTTGGAAGTATATCTAGGTTATGAGTTGAGACCTGCACCTACTATTTTATAACATTGCCTGACTGAAGTTTCCTGTGTGTTGCAATGATACAGTTGGCAAACTTCTGCATTGCTCTTCACTGTTGAAAGTTCATTTAATCAAAGGGCTCTTTGGAGTGTTCTTCCAAGTATTCCACAATTCTGAAAGTAGGCTTTGAGGAGGAGCTGCAGTGAAAAGGTGGTAGGAGCAAAAAAGCCACACTGTGTGCACCTACAAAATTCCTTCAGATTCTGGTACTTGAAATTAGAACATGCTTTTCATGTATGCCTATCTGCAAAGTCAGTGTTCTTTATATGATTCACAAGACTGGGAGGGATAATAAGATTTCTGAGGTGTGATTAGTATTGTAAAGATCTTGGGTTTAGATGGCATACTCATTTTGCAGAAGATCTACCATCATTAATCATTTCTGAGATCAGTAAATCCTTTTCAGCTGACTGAAGGAATTTTAGTTTGATATCTTTTTCCAGTTTGAGTCATTCCTTTGCATGTTTTTATTTTACCACTCTTGTCATAATACTAACACTTGTTTTGTAAGCATACTTCATTCGTACAATGTCAAAAGTAATACAATATCTTATTATTGTCACAGTCATCTTCCCTCTACAGCGATCCTTTGGCAACATCTAAGAGTTACAGGGTTAGTACAACATGATGTAATAGTCTACATTTAGATTTAGTAAAGTCTGTGAAGTGTAAACAAAACCCACCTTTCTTCTGTAGGTATCTCCAGATGTAAATGCCGGTTTGATAAGAAGTGCCAGTTTGGTTTGTATACAGATCTGCATGGTTGTATTAAACTTGCTGCCTTAAGGATATTTGGGCTTGATAGTCAACATTTATGTAAACTGCAGGCTGTTTGTCATATTTGGTGTTACCACTGTTCTGTAAAAGTTGAATCATGTCAGACAGCTTGCCTTTATGTCAAATGGGAAATGCATATGGTGGAACTTCTGTGCTTCAGTCTTTGCTAATTTTATATGTGCATGGTACTAAAGCTACATTTCTGCTTTTGCTGGGTTATGGGTGGGAGTTTCGGGTGCTGAGATATGTCCTGTTGAACCACTCCTCCCAGCCATAGCCTATAAGTATACATCAAGGCCACATCAAATTTGCAAGCCGAGCTATACCATTTTCACAAGTAACCTATATGGACTGTCTTGCATCCGCTTTAATGCTTGTGGGACCTGTCAAATAGTTAGGACTCATGTAATACTCCTTAGATTGTGGCTGTCCGTCTTTGTTGTGTTTCTGCTGCTTTAAAAATGACACAAGGGCAACCTCATAAAGGCACAGTGAATACTGATTTCACAAAGGGGAAAATAAAGAATTATACGCACAAAGCATATATTGTAATTTTCCCCTGGTTTGTCTTCCTTGGTTCACTGTTGAACTTTGTAGTGCTAGTGATGCCACCTTCTGTGGCAGCAGTTGACTGAATTGTTGTCATCTGGAATGTATCTACCTGCAGACAGTGATAGAAAGTCTGAATCAGACTTCTTTTATGATTTGAAACAAAGGCTCAGCCACACTGATGAAAAGCCCCTCACACAACCCTCTTCAGAGGAAGAGCTCTTGGCAAGGACAGGAGACTGAAATATGTAAAGCTCAGTAGGAAGAAGTTCCAGGAAGTATGAAAGCTGAGGTGGGGTGACTGGAGGAAGGAGGCAGTAGATATAGTAGTGAAAGGCAACCCTAAGGAAAAACAAGGAACAGGAGTTGGATGGTATTGCCAACCCCCAATATCCCTCTCTCCTGCCCTGCTGGTTCTTTTCCTGGCCAGGCAGCCTGACTGATGGAGGGTTAGCTTTTAGTTGCTAGATGCTCTTAGAGTTGATAAAAGTTGAAAAAGGGGAAGGCCAATTCAGGAATGGCTACTACAGTGGTGAGACAAAAATCTAGCACACTGAGATCTAGTTTGATTGTCTTTTGGGAAACAAAGCTTCCGAAGAAAATCGTGACTCTTTCATCAAAACCTGGAAGATTAGACCTTAGTAAAAGGCTCCACAGGCTCAAGCTGTACTACTTTCTACTTTACCAGAAGCAGTTAATTAATTAATTAATTAAAGATAGGGTGTTAACAAGGTTTTAGGATATCATATTTTTGTTATCTATTGCCTGTAAAAAAAGAATGCCCCTTCCCATGTTGAAACTAGTAGGAAAGAAATATACAAGGAAAATTCACAAACTAGATGCAGTTATTCCACACCTTTAACAGCGCTGCTTTCTTTAAGTGTGGCAGGAGCTTTATACAGTGGTTCTGCTGCTTAACAGTCTTGTATATATGGTCAACAAAGACCTTGTTAATGCATGAGAGCTTTCGTTTGTATGTGTACAAATCACAGAACCTCTAAGTTCAGGGAGTCAAACATAAGACCCGGGGAGTGGAACCAGCCTATCCAGGGCTCGTATCCAGCCCACAAGCAACTGGTGCAAGGAAAGGAACAGGAGGCTGCTGGGGGGGGAGTGGGTAGAGCCAGTCCAATTGTGACTTCAGCATGGCAGAACAACCTTGTATGCAGCAGTCAAGCAGAACTCATTCACTTCAGTAGCAACCTCACTGGTAAGTTGGGAGCCACCGCAGCCTCATTCATGCTGGCTCAGGGTTCCAAAGTCAGGTCGCACACCTCTCCACTCGGTCTGCAGCTCCAGGGATGCTGTCCTGGATGGCCACAGGGATCAATGTTTGCACGTGGCGGGATGCAGACAATCCTCTGCTGGGGCCAGCTGGTGGCCAGTGCTGTCGCTGTATTCGGAAGCTGCAGCTAGTGCAAAATGCTGCGGCCAGGCTTCTGATGGGCCTTCCCCATGCAGGAGCACATCCAGCCTGTCCTGAAGGCATTGTACTAGCTGCCGATAGCATACCGAATTCACTTCAAGGTGCTGGTTCTTACCCTTAAAGCCCTTTATGGCCAGGGTCCGACATACTTGAGGGACCGCCTTTCCCTATATATACCCCAGAGAGCACAAAACTGACTGGCCCTCCTGGGCCCCAAGGATGCCAGGCTGGCTGCAACCAGGGCCAGGGCTTTTTTGGTGGTGACTCCATACTGGTGGAATGAGCTCCTGGAAGAGATCAGGCCTTCAATTAGGAGCCACCACCATTGTCAACAACTGGAATTTATAGAGCCCTGGCCCTTGGTTTGCTATTGACAGCCTGTGCCTGCTGATTATATCTGGGAAGATCAGCGAGCTGACCATCTAGATAATCTATTGAATGCACTCATATGGTAACACCACCACTATGAAACAACACTACTAGCACTTTATGATACTGCAGTGTTTTAGAATGAATTGTTTTTAGATGTTTTTATGGTAATTGTTATTTATGTATTTACTTTTATGTAAGCTGCCCTGAGCCTGCTTTGGCGGGGAGGGCGGGGTATAAATTGGGAAAATAAATAAATAAAATATTTGCAGCCCCCATGTGGCTGCTGTGGTTTGACCCATAGGGGGGCATTCTTTGGCAATTTCTTCCACACAACAGGGGTCTAGTCCTGCTACTGAGCATGCAACTCAGTGGCTGGGCCTTCCTCCCCATGGACCACCTAGTGGCCTAAAGCCATAGGTGGCTGCCGCCTTGTGAAAGGGGCATTGCCGACGATCTCTGTTTATACTAGTTGCTATGTAGCCTGGGGTCCCTGCCACATGCACGGCCTTGTGCACACGGTGCCTGCTCCCCCATCAGATGATCTGGGAGCCTTCAGCCTGGGGCACCCTATATATATATAGGGTGGTGCGGCTTGCCAACAATCTCTGGCTTGACCTCGCAGCATCGTTCTGCCATGGATCACTTGGTGGCCTTGATCAGAGGTGGCCACTGCCACATAGGTGTCTCCAGGTTACTGGGCTTCACTTGGCCTGGGTCTCACCATGCATGTGGCCTCGGACCTGGTTGCTTCCCACTTCTGCTGGAGGGGGGGGGGTTAGTTCAACGTGTCTTCCCCGTCCCCTCCCATGGTGGTTCACGGGGAGGGAGGAGCTCACAACACCCAGCTGCTTCATGTTTTTACCCTGGGGCTGAGGCTCACAGCATTGACGGTGGGAGCAGGCTGAGGAATGGATTTGCCCCCCTCTGGGCAGCGCAGGAGCATCTGCCCAGCTCTGCACCACTGGCTCTCCAGTCTGCCCATGCAGATTTTCCTCTGCACACCTTACTCCAGCCTATGGGGCCTTTCAGTGAGGACACACCAACTCAGAGCTTACCAGCTGCTGTCCTTTATAAAGTTTATATGTCTGGTACCTGGCATGACACAATACCCAACAAAATCACATTTATGTCAGATCCGGCCCTCATAACAAATGAGTTTGACTCCTCTGCTGTAAGCAAAAGCTGCTTGTATTTTGTGCAGTACCTTGAGATTTTCAGCAAAAGGGATGGAAAGGAATCGTAGGGGTCCGTCAAGTGTAAATTTGTGCTTTAAAATAATTGATTAGATTAGGTTCATTGTGTCTCTGAAAACTAAATTGCAAGAAAAAATATCAGTATATATTTCACTTTCAACTTGGTTGTGTGTGAGTAATATATAAATAAAACAAAAAAGTGTGAATGTTTTTATACTGTCAGATTTTGATATGGCAAGATTTTTGAAGACACGGATGACAGACTAACCACATGAACAAAGTTTGAGTTCAGTGGCACCTTTAAGACCAACAAAGTTTTATTGAAGGTATGAGCTTTCGTGTGTACACACACTTCCTCGGATACATTGAAATGGAAGGTAATAGTACATTGATATATGGAGAGCGTGAATGGCAAATTAGCATACAGCATAATGAGGATGTTTTAACCGATGGCAAAAACTACCATTACAACAAGTTAAGTTTGTTTGGATTTAATTATGGAAAGCACAGTAAATATGTCAAAATAGGAGATTGATTGTGTAAAAGTATCCTTTTAACTTTTTTTATGCTCCATTTGTCTCCTCTCAAGCATGGAGGTAAATAACAGTGGCCTTTTCTTTGAGGTGAGGTGAATGGTTGAGCAGTATAAAGGTGCCACTGAACTCAAACTTTGTTCTGCTGCTTCAGACCAATATGGCTGCCCACTAGACTAACCACGTATTCACTTTTGTAGGCTTACAGTTTTGAGTTCTCACTTGGCAAAAATACAGTTTTTTAGACATATATCCTTGCATTTTGAAAAAGATGCTGTTGAATTACATAGTAGGACAATGCTCAAAGAACACACAGATACAACCTTTATTCTCCAAAAGTGTACCAAGTGTTTTCTTTGTTCTCCAGGCATCATTGTGTGGTGATGGATTGCATAATTCATATGGCCATTATACTGTAAGTTCATAGGGTTTTCTTTTGGGGTTTACAAAATATTTTTTGAAAATAGTAGCTGAAAAATCAAACACTTCCCTTTCCCTTCCTTTGCAATTTTGGTTTTAGCCTTCTGAATACAGTTATTCTTCCAGAGCAAGTTCAGCACGAAGTAGTCCAGTGGTGAGAGGCTTCTGTTTGTTTGCATGTCTTGAAGTTTTCCTTGTGACTAACATTCTCCTGTTTTATTCATTTGCATTAATCCTGCTACTGACGAATATATGGGTTGTAGATCTCTGAGAAATACAGGTAATTAAACTTTAGCAAAAAATATAAATTGCTGTCCGTTGTTCTGGAGATTTGTGAACATTTTACTTTCACAAAAAGCTCTTTTTGGATGTTACTGTATAGGTACTGTAATCAGATTTAAAAAGTAATAGACATAAAATCTCTAGCGAAATTATCATGGGAATTAGAAAAATACAGTGTATAAATAAGTATCAAACATATCATCACCATTGTTTAGCTGTGTTGTACTGGTCCTTGGGTCAGTTTACTAAGGTAGAAACGGGCATGCAAATTTCCTCCTTCAGCAACAGACTGTCTTGTTTTGTTTTCTATACAAACTGTATCAGGAGCTGGTGTTGTGCTAGCATTCTGGGTTACTGTTTCTTGCAGGCTCAAGGAGCCATAATCTGTTGTGTTTCCCTCCGAGCTGTACACTTGGTACATGATACTTCCCTGCATGCATATATTGTCCATGCATGAAAAGACCACCATAAAGTGTAGCTTTTCACTCATTTTCCCTCAATGGACAGTTATGGGGGAATGGAAAGTTTCTGTGTGCCTCCCTTACTCCTGTTTACCCCCCTGAATTCACTTTTTAACCAACTGGAGTAGGATAGGGGAAACACACACAATCCTGCCGTTTCCTTCTAAAAGAGCAGCATGCTTCGTTGTGCTCTATGGTGGCATGTCCACTTGGTTATGCTATTTGACATCTTACTCTTATGTACAAGTAAACCACCAGGAATTCCTTCCAGACTGTTCTGCAGGCCCTCTGAAGTGCTGGATTGTGCTTGACTTCCAGCAATCACAAGTCTTAACTGCAGTGTTTTGTATGTTATATTAGAAAGGCAAAGTTAGTTTTCCTTTGAAAGTGAACATCTAAATTAGCTTAAACCACATACTGCCTTAACTCCTAAGACGAAACAGAATGGACCACCCTTGGAGACACTATAGCAGTCAAGGCAAAACTTCCGGATAATTTCTATACTGTAGGTTAGTGCTCATTGATAGGGATCCTACACGGGCTGTATTATATCTCTGTGTGCATTATAGAGAGAGACACTGCTTCCCCAGTCTTGTCCTATAAAGTTGTTTCTGTGCATACATTCTACCCATTGTGGTCAGGAACATTTTGTTAAGCAGTAGTGTACCCTCAGAGTGTCATGAAGATAGCATTTCTCAGCACATTGAGTTGGTTTTATATAGCTTAATAATATGCACCTGAGTCGCTAATATTATACACAAATCATTAACCTTGATCCAATCAAATGCTTATCTAATTGAAACTTAGTTAATTACCTGTCTTTGAATCTTATAGTTTACAGATGATGAAGCAGGGAGCACTGTATCATCTGATCGTGCCATGCGAGGGCGGAGGGATAGCGTGGTGAGCTGGGTTGCATGATTTGTATCATGTGTTTGCTATGTTCTAATGGTATCAGTTTATAGCACATGGAATACTGTAGTCCTGATTGCAAGATTAATTTAAAAAATGATTGGCACGGCTCACATTGTGTGCACATATAAAGTTTTTTTATTTTATTATTGCGTAAAGTGGAGTTGCATGGCACTTGTGTCTCACAGCTCAGAAATATGTCTGTGTTGGTCTGGCATCCTCTTGTAAAATAATGAAAACTGCTATACTACTAGTAAAAATATGTTTTCAAGGCATGTAGAGGAAATTTATTGCACACAGTGATGATATCAGTGTTAATGAATTACTGTATTTACTCAAATGCAAGACTGGTTTTTCCCCAAGGTATGCCAGCAAAAAAAAAGGAAGGAAGAGGGGGGCATGTTACATTCACTTACAAGTTAAAATTTCATTCAGTGATAATTTAAAAATTCCATGTGACTATTCCCAGGCTTTTGGGGTGGTGTGAACAGGTGCAATGAGGACACCTTCAGCAGGCTTGGTTGGGACTGAGGCTCCATGGCAAAAAGCAGCATCTGCTTCTTGTCTTCATTTGGTTCCCCAAGTTAAACAGCAGTTAACTCCCACTGCACCCCAGGTGGTTCAGAGCACTTCCAGGTACACAGTCCTGTTCCACACATGCTCCCTGCTCCATCTCAATCCCTGGCTACCTGCCAACTTTGCTGCACCTCCATCTTAAGTGCCTGGCCCATTAATTGGCACCACCCTTCCTTCCTGACCCTCCAGCCTTCCAGCTGTTAGTCCCAGTTTGTCCTCAGCCCTAACGGGACTCCTTCCCCTCATACAGCTGTGGCATGTATCAGCCATCTGTTTCCCAGTCATGGGTATCCCTGGCCACACTTTGCCTACACCAGCCCTGGGCTTCACCTTGCATCTGCCTTGTCTTGCTATTGAGGCCTGGCCTCTTAGCCCCTCTGGCTCCAATACCCCCAGGTTGCCACAATTACATTTTTATGAGGGTCATCTGACATTCAGGGTTGTCTTCTTTTCATAGAAACACAGTAAATTTGTGTAAGTAATTTAGAATTCCCAGATATGTTCAGTAACTAATTCTATTATTCTGCTATTGATGTTTATAATTACTGTTAACATAATGTTATGGTAGTGTTTCAGTAAGTCTGGTAACTGGGAGAACATTTTGCTTGCTCTTTGTGGTCATATAAGAAATGGTTGGAAAAATATTGTGGAAGTGCATGTTGCCACAGCATGAGCTATCTTGTTCCATTCAAGCATTTGAGGTTCTTTAGGTAGAAACTTGAAGACAGCTGGCTGTTGTGCTGCTGAAGGCATCACATAACTGATTCCTTATCTAGAAAAGTAAGGTGGCAGAAATTAAGTGAGGTAACAGTGATGTTGTAGGTTGGTTGTATGTATAAATGCAGAGGTTTAGATGCCAAAAGGGAGAGCAGCCCTACCATGTGTGTTAATCCCCAACTCCAACACCAAGAGCCCAAAGAAGATTAGTATACTGTTCTCATTGTATCCTTAACTCTGTTCAGTCACATGGCAGTGCTATCAACATCTTTTATTCACTTGTTTTCCGGCTCACATTGCATGAGAAGGTTGGTGATGGCAGTTATGCTTTTTCTCAGTATGGCAAATAAAAGAAAAGTCCAGTGGCACACTAAAGACTAACAACATTTATCTCTTTATGAGCTGCTGTGAATCAGCCCACTTCTTCAGATAGATATGTGAAGGGAAAATCGTACTGCAAAATCTTGGGGGGGAAGGGAGGCAGATGAATGGGGAATTTTATGCAGAAGATTGGAGGTGGGAGCCAAGATGTCCCTGTACAATTTTCTGTTCATGTATCTATCTGATGAACTGGGCTCTGACTCTCTAAAAGGCATATTGAAATCTATGTTGCTGGTCTTTAATGCCACTGAACTTTTGTTTTATTTGCTATAACAGAATAATGCAGTTACCTGTTTGTACCTCAGTATGGAACCCCCAGGCTTCACAAATACAGTTTGAAACCTACTGGCATAAAGAACAAGCTCTCCCTACTGAATAGTAAACCTCATTCATCAAAGGAAAGCTTTCTCTAAACTAATTTGAGTAGAGAAATAAGAATAACGTGGCTCAATTTCTTGTTGAATGACTATAAAGTCAGTGTGTACGTATTTGTGGTCTTTTTTGTTTTTTGTCTTTTTTCCTTTGCCACTTTTGTTCTACTCTGTGGTTATTGTCAAAGGTGTGCTTGTGATTTTTCAGTTTTCTGCAATGTAGCAATAATTTTCATTTCAGATGTGTCTGGTAGAAATATTCTGATTTTTAATTGAAATGTTTTATTCAATCCATTTCCCCCCCTCCGTCTGTTGTCTTTGTCATTGAAGTCAACTGACTTTTCAGATCATAGTGAAACTGCAGCTGATTATTTTAGCCGTTCAAATCGTAGGGGAAGCATTGTTTCTGACTTGGATGATGTCAGCATTCCAGACTTGAACATTGTGAGTGTGATTAGCATTGTGCTGATGTCACTGCTGTTTTACTAATGATTATCTTTTTTTTTCCCCCTTTGGGGAGTGGTGCCATCATTGTACTAACATTTGGCTTTAGCAGCAAACATAATTTGGTAATATATATTTTTTGCTAGCAGTGCCGTTGCGGGACTTATTTAAAATACAGTCTCCAACTTATATGCAGTGTTCTCTCTCAGCTGTGTGCATGAGTGGCTGCTCATTAACACAGAAAGCCCCGCTCAGCAGCAGTCTGGAGCTGTGCAGGGTCTTGCACTGTCCAGTGCCCATTTTAAGATAACAGATGTTCTATTCTGCTCAGGAGGGCAACTGCTCTGCTGGGGGGGGGAGATTAGAGGAACATTGCTTATATGGCTGAGTTCTTTCAAACTAAATGTAGGGGAAGGTAGGGAATTGCTTCTGTTAATTTGATAGTATTGTGCATAAAATCCTGCAGATACATATTTGAGTAAATATGCATAGGATTAAGATATAAGCATTCTATGGAACCTTAAAAAAGAATGGACAGCTTATAGTCACACCTTGTTTCTGAAACAGATGCAGAATAAATGAATATAGAAGGTGGACAGTAATCCTTTAGCATTGTGTAATTTGGGGAAATGGTGTGTTCGAGTTGTGATTGTTTCTGTGAGAATAGGGATTTCACAAGGACACCCGACTGCTGTTTTTTAAAGCTATGAAATGTTGATGACTAGCCGGTTAGTATTTACCACAGAATTATTGGATCATTTTCAGTGATTACTTTTTCTGTGTGAATAAATTTTTCTCAAGGGAAGGCCTTGGCCTCTGTGTTCTGATTGTTAGCCCACCAGGGCAGCTGGTTGGCCACTGTGTGTAACAGGATGCTGGACTAGATGAACCACTTGTCTGATCCAGCAGAGCTGCACTTAAACTTGTATGACAATATATTACCCCCCCAGGGGTTCTGTAAAGAGGTAGGGTTATGCTTATCATAGTGAAATTAAATGTAATCTTGGACATAGGGAAAAATACTTTGTGTGGCAATACAGACATGACACTCTTGAGATTATCATTGTGCACTTCATGGTTTCAAGTCAGCATGGGAAGGACAGTATTGTAGTCCTCAGTCAGACTGGCACAGTCAGTTCATATGTGACTAGAGATGTAAAATTTCCAAAAACCTTGAAGCTGGGGGTGGGGGAGAGACATTTTTTTCCCTTCCCTGGAAAAATGGGAAATTGAAACTACTTTTACTGATTTAACAGCATGAAATGCTTTATTTATGCCTTAGTCACCATATGAAATTGTACTATTTAGCATATGTTTTAGACTTGTAAAATTACAAATATCTTCATTTTCTATAAGACAATTTACAAATAAACCCAGTACTTGCAAACTGCTGCCCCCATGCTACCACAGGACATGTATCTTTAATTTTTGCCCTCTGAGAGGCAGGAAAAAAAGTAAAAGTTGAAGGCCAAAAACAAGTTCTGTAGTAAACAAAAGAAGGTGTATTATTTGGACAACCATAGAGACACAATAGGTAGGACTGCCAGCATTTTTGATACTAAGCTAAACTTTATAAAATTGAAAATACTCAGCTCTTCAATAATGCATTATTAAATAAATCATGTCATATTGTTGCCAAAATTATTCATATTTTAAAAATCTTGAGTATATTGTGTGTGCCTCAATTCCCCAAAATTGAGAAAACCCTCAAACTTTTCATGCTATACATTTTGAATGTGAAAAACGTCACCCTCAGACGCATTTTATTCATTCTAGAAGGGGGGAGGGATCATAGAAGTTTCAGTGTTCCCCCAATTTCCCCCCCCCCCCCCAGTTTTTCTGTAAAAAAATTGAAAAAAGGGCCTGGGAAAAAATTTATTTCCCACCCCCACTCCCCCGTCTTTTCCTCCAAGCCCTTGCATCTCTGTGGTGCAAGATAAAAGGAGCAAGGTCTCTTGCTGTCCACACCTAGTCTCTGAATCATAAGTGTGTCTGGTCCCATTCCTTAAGAAAATGAAGTTGTCAAGAGAAGAGTAATACTGTCTGAGAGGCTCAGATCAAGTTAGCTTAGATGATGCCAAGAGACTTCTTAAAATATTAACTATTCTGAAAACAAATGTGAATGTCTGTAGTTGATGTTATTTCTGAGTATTTTTCTCAATAAAAATTTTAAAAACCCGCAAAGAAAACAAATGTTGTGAATACGACAGTCAAATTCATGCCTTGTAGTGTAAGTACAGATGGTTCATCAGCAATGGCCTGGTGTCTACTCTGCCAAAGCACAGTTCTGAATTGTGACCAGGATCTAAGAAAACCAGTGCTCATTTGTGTGTTGCTGATTTTTTTCATTCCCATCTGGTGACATCCTCTCTTGCCTTCTGGAATGTCATGCAACAGGATCCTCAATCTTAAAGGATGATGTTTTGGGGGAGCATTTATTTATTAAGTTCAATTTTTAAACCACCCTTCCCTATAGGACAGGGCTCAGGGCAGCATACATCAGTGTAAGCCATATACATAATAAAAAGAGTAGCATGGGAGCTGCTTTTGGATGGTGGAGGCCAAAAAGCCCCTGTGCATGCCTTGCCAGCTGTATCCTGGTCTGGATGTGCATAAAGTATGCCAGGCAGCTTGCAGACTCAAGTGCTTAATGTTTTCACTGTAGTTCAGAGAATATTTTTGTTGTTTTACAATAAATGTAAAGCACTATCTCAACCAGATTATTCATTAAGAAGCAGGATAACTCGTCTTCACGAATTGTAATTGCAAATGTTGAAAATGAGCCCAAGAAGCAACTGCCATTTATTTCACTGATGTAATATTTCATGCATTTGGCATATATAATGATGCCTAGTTATAAGCTTGATAAAAGGCTGTCCTAAAGAAGTGTACTATGATTTAAGGTTTTGGCACTGGTTTGTAGGACACCGCAACCCTAGAGTTGGATTCGACTGGCTTTCAAGCAAGGGAACCTTTACCTTTACCCCATATGTATGGGACTGTCTGCTCCTCTGCACTGCTGGATTAAAAGCAAGTCCTATGGTCATATAGGAAGAAATCAAAGAGGAAAATCTTCTGTTTATAATAATGTTGGCATTTTAATGCTGATCTGGATTTGTGGTCTCTTAGATTAAGAAGTATCTCAGTACCCAGATTTGTAATGCAAATAAATGGTTCATATTTTTAATATACAAGCATTTCTTCTTTTTTCAGCAAGAAGACAAGTGTGACAAGCAGTATTCTGACTTCTATGTAAGGGTGAGTTTTTAAACAGACTGGGCACTTTTTGTTACAGGTAATTTTAAAGCTTACTAGATTCTTCAAATGGATGGCAGTATGATTAATGTTGGCATATCTGCAGAAGCATAGAAGGACTTTACTTGACTGTCTGCCAGCAGCACTCCCCAGCCCCTCCTGCACTTAATGCTTCAGTTTCCTCAAGCACATGTAGCAGGAGATCGTGGATCACAAATGTTCAGTATATCTTGATAGTATTTTCTGGGAATATTTGCTTTGCTTAAGTATGATAAAAACATGTTCATTAATTTCCTTGATTTGGTACTCCTTGGAAACCTAAAATATGTGGATAGTGTAAGTTAGTGTGACTATTTTTTGTTGATACTGTTCATTTGTATACAAACTTGAATTTGTAGATCATAGTTTAGATGATAACATGCTATTTCGAAAAACTAATTATAAAGAAGCTCTACATTTTAGTTGCTGCTCCATGTGCCCTGCAAAAAGGGGACTGGATCTGTTGTGCTAACCAGAATGGTTTATTTTGATGGAAGCAGGATGCAGCTGTCTTCTAGTGGAGGAAAGCACCTTTGCTAGCAACACAGATCCATGGGATTCAGCTGAGGGAAAACCCAACCCTGAAAAAGTCACAAAGCATGTAACTGTACTGAACTATTAAGAAATTCAGGAAACCTGTAGCTAGGAAAATATTAAAATTATACATGACATTTTGGTGTAGTGGTTAAGAGCAGCAGACTCTAATCTGGAGAACTGGGTTTGATTCCCCACTCTTCCGCATGAAGCCTGCTGGCTGACCTTGGGTCAATCACGGTCATCTCAGACCTGTTCTCTCAAGAGCAGTTCTCTCAGAGCTCTCTCAACCCCACCTATCTCACAGGCAATGCTCCTTCTAAGCTGTGGAGTCTTGTGAGCAAAAATTCTACTTTGTGAGCTGCTGACATTAAAGCTGTGAGCGAGCAATGTGGCTGCTGCATAAATTGGTTTGCTCTGGAGCCATCCTTCCTGAGCCAAGACAAAAATGCGTGAGCCAGTGTCAGCTATGCTGCCATGGGGGTTGGGGAGTTCATTCTGTGTCTTGTTAATTGCTATTGCATTCCTATCCCTGCTGTTCGGCCTTTGCTGAAATGCTTATCTCTACACATGTGCAGGAGGTTGTATTGTCTGGAAGCCCATGCCATTGGGGGGGGGGGGTGCATACAAATACCCTATATCCTATTTGGCTCTATTGGTTGCTGCCATTCTTAACAGTGCCTGTGTTACTGCATCTATAGCTTTGCAATAAAAGTATAACCGTACTTCATTGTGAGCTGTGGGTTCTGACAGCCAGAGGCTAAAAAATTGTGAGCTGGCTCACACTAACTCAGCTTAGAGGGAACACTGCTCACAGGGTGTCTGTTGTGGGGAGAGGAAGGGAAGGTGATTGTGAGCTGCTCTGAGTGAAGGGCGGGTTATAAATTCAACTCTTCTTCTTCTTCTTAATGAAATATCTAGAGCTAACTACATAGTATATCTAGGCCTACTGCTGGACAAAAACATGGCAACTGTGGCCAGGAAGGCCATTTACCAGCATCAACTGGTTAGCCAGCCTTTCCTGGGCAGAAAAGATCTGGACACAGTGGTGCATGCCCTGGTTATATCTAGATTAGATTGCAGCAGTGCACTCTGCACGGAGCTGCCCTTGAAAAGTGTTCAGAAACTTCAGCTGGTGCAGAATGCTGCAGCCTGGATATTGACTGGAGTGGGTCATGGGGATCATATCACTCCAGTCTTGGCCCATTTGCACTGGCTCCCAATTTTTTCTGGGCACAATTCAAATGAGTGGTTCTGATCTTTAAAGCCTTATATGGTTTGAAACCAACATACCTGAAGGACTGCCTACTTCCCTTATTAACCTTTTCAACCACTAAGGTCATCTTTGGAGGCCCTTCTGAGATAATACTATCTCATCTGACAAAATTTAAGACATGCAGGAACTTTAACATAGTCTGTCTTTTTTCCCAGCCATCATCTCGCAATTCAGCAACTCCTTTGAGTGGAAATTCATCTAGGCGAGGAAGTGGGGATACTGGCAGTTTGGTGGATCCTGATACCTCGTTAAGTGAATTGCGGGTGAGCAAACTTTGGTTGCCTAAAAAGTTTCTTTCTTGTAGTCTTTGAGAAGGCAAAATAGGCTTGAAATACAACTGAGGACCTTTTTGGTGTTCGGAATGACTTGCTTCAGATGTCCATATGATAAATTAGAGGAACACAACCTCAGTTTTGCTAAAAACAACTCCACTATCATGATGTCAACCTCTTAACCCTCGCTTTGACTCTCTCCAGCAAGTGCGTAATTTGTGGTCGTGCATGGGTTGTACTCCTTTATGGGAAATCCTTTCCCCTTCAATCTCCGTTCCTGAGACTTTGGGGTCCCTGCTGCCACCTAGAGTATTCTAGCCCCCACCTCCCCTTAAGTGCCCTGGGTCTCTAGAGGTGGGTGTGAGTGTATGAGATAGTGGGGATGAACCTCCTCCTCTCCCTCTTAGCCAGAGCTGTCCATCTAGCATGACTAGCTCCCTGTATTCCTGAATGAGTGTCTAGGTGCATAAGTAAGTGTTAAGAGAGTTAGTACCCACCAAGCTTCTTTAAAGGTTAAAAAATGCTTTAATAACAAAATGTATAGAATATATATTAATCAGAGCCTTTATTTTCTTTTACAAGGTAAGGACCCCTGTATCACCAGGTCACTGGCGTCCTACCTTTTAGCAACCCAGTTTAAAATTTAAAAAAGCTTTTGTGACTGGAGTGAGCTTCCCCCCCTCCCCTTCTCTGTGTGTGATTAGGCTTAAGGTTGTGGCCAAAACAGCCATATCATTAAAGGAAGGAAAGGAGTCTATATAAGCCAAACAGAGATAAATGGGAATTAATTAGAGCACAGCTAGAGATGCTACAGAGTAAGATTAACAAGATACTTTTTTTAGTGAACTGACCCTTAGTTTGTAACAACATTTCTCCCCTGAGAAATGGGCTCAAGGCAGCAGAAACATAACTGACTGTCCCCAGCCTTGACACAGGCATCAGGCTTTCTTCTTCCTTAGTGCACATTGCCAAACCAAGTTGATCATTTTAACTCTTTGCATCAATCTTGGTAGGATCTTTGTAGACCTAATCAGAATTCTGTGCATTTGGCTGAGTTCTTCCTGCCAAGACCCAGTTGACCAATGATTCCCCAGTTGTGATAAGAAAGTTTTATGATGCCTGAACTGGAATTAAAAACCCTCTGTCTTGCCCTCCAAGTTTTTAGCCATATAGTCAGTTGGAGGTATCCTGAGTCTTCCCATTTTCAAAGGGTCACTCTCTCTGCCTGACTTGAGAGAAAAATTGTCTCTCACCTCATAAACATGATGTGCTAGTTATATTTTCTCCTATTCCTTCACTGCCACTGTGGCTGCTTTTTTTCTCTCTGCGAATTTGGCTGCAAACTACTTGTTTTTCAAATGTCTGAATCGTTCCAAAGTACAATTAATTTTTAGATTTGTAAAGAGAAAAGCAGTATCATATTTTAGTACAATAATTTTAGATCAGTGTTCTAATACTTATCATCCCATAACACAAGTTATAATTTATCTACAGTTGCCTCTAGTTCACCATCATGAGAATAAAATGGCCAATATTTTAATGCCCTGTATAGATCTATGGTACGGCCTCATTTGGAATATGGTACAGTTTTGGTCACCGTATCTCCAAAAGGACATTGCAGAGCTGAAAAAAGTACAGAGGATGGCAACCAAGATGATTAGGCGGTTGGAGCACCTTACCTATAAGGAAATGTGAAAGAGTGTGGGACTTGTCAATTTAGAAAAGAGACAACTAAGGGGGGACATGATAGAGGCTTATAAAATTATGTGATCAATGGCTACTGGCTATGGTAACTGAGGGGAATCACCAGTTTCAGAGGCACCAAGCCTCTAAATCCCAAAGCCAGGAGGCAACATCAGGGGAACGATCTCTATGCTGTTGTTGGCTCTCCAGAGGAACTGGTTGGCTACTGTGTGAGACAGGATGCTGGACTAGATGGACCATTGGTTTGATCTTGCAGGGCTCTTCTTATGCTCTTATCATCAATGTATACATTCTCAGTGTCATACTCAGACCATAATATAGTGGTTTTTGTAGCACAGAATAGTAAAATATTTTATAACTAGGAGTAAGGTCCATTGTGGGAAGAAATACAATGAGATCTAGAAAGAAGCTCCAGGTGAGTGTCCCAGCTGTGGCTGGTAGGGTGGCAGAAGGAAGGGGAAAATAGAGGTAGGCAAGCCATGTTTATTTCCTTCTGCTTAGCTATAAGGCAGGGCTGTCTCAAGTCATTTCGTTGCCCCAAGTGGGTGGTATGGGAGAAGAGTCACATGGTAACAGGTATGGTTCCCTCTACCCCTGACTTATGTTGATTTGGGACTACGCAGTGGCAGCCAAGCCCTTCCTCCTATTTCATGTTTTCTGGGTTCCAAGAGTCTGGAAAGCGGTTCTGTAGCCAGTTACAGGGTTGCCAACTCTGGGCTGGGAAATACCTGTAGATTTGAGGGGTTGAACCTGGGTAGGGCGGGACCTCAACGGGGTATATTGCCATAGACTCCACTGCCCAAAGCAGCCATTGTCTCCAAGAGAACTGATCTTGGTCATCTGGAGATCAGTTGTAATAGCTGGGAAATTGTCTGTAGGGGAAATGATGTGCTGTGGCTGAGGAACACAATGGTTTCCGGGATATCTCCAGGCCCCACAGGAAAATTGGCAAACCCAACAAACATTTAGGGGAAGACTGGGAGATGTATTTTACCTCAGGACACATTCAGTGACTCCCAACAGCAAACTGTTTAGAATGTTGGAGGCGAGGGCCAATCAGGCCACATATGCAAATGACCTCTGTCTTCTGACTGGCTATGGGGGGGGTAGAGGATGACATGCGGAATGGAGTGAGGCCCGAGCAGCCCGCATATGCAAATGACATTGAAAGGCTAGCCCAATCAGGTAGAAAGTAAGTAATCAGGAACGTGGCTAGCCTTTTATATATATCTAGATTGAAGTTTGGAGCCCAACTCATCTTTGGTTAATAACTTGTAGGATTGAAATTTAGGCAATTAACATTTAAATTTACAAACATAATACATATTGGCTATTTATAGCAAAAGTCTTATTAAAAATGTATGTCTTAGGTTAAAAAATAAAGATTTAACTCTTAACAGAATTTGTTCCAGTGAAACATGTGCCAAGCCAATTTATTTTTGTTTCTATCTCACATTGTAACAGTAAGTTCTTCCTAATGTTCTTATGCAGTGGTTCATTCCTATGTCCTGCAGGATATCTATGATCTTAAGGACCAGATACAAGATGTAGAGGGGAGATACATACAGGGCCTTAAAGAGCTAAAGGTATCAGGGTTTATCCCAAGCATGCTTTCCTATGGTAATATGTTGGTGATGGAGTTCTTGCTGCTTTCACTAACAGAGATTTACTAACATACCACTTTGTTTTGTTTTGAAGCATGCGCCTAACCTGCAAATCCTAGAATGGACTATATATAATTTTATAGCTATTAACTATATCTGCTTCTGCTTAAACTGCTATATGAAAAGGACAGTGAGATTTTGTATTACAGTAAATAATATGAAAAGTTTATCTGATGTCTTTGTGCAGTATGTACTTAATGGGCTAATAATTTTTATTAGCACCTACATGAACAGTATTTTGTTTCAAACTAAACATAATTTTGTTGGCTTCTTTCCAAAAACATTTGCTTATTTAAACACGTCATAATTTTTTTTTTAAGGTTCAGAAAACAGTTCTAGAAGCCCTGCTCTGGTGTCCCCTAGAGGAGAGACCTAAATGCGTTACTTGGATAATTTTACAAAAGGCTTGGTGATCATCTAGTATTGTTAGAAGAAGCAGCTACCTTTGGCCTGTCCCTGCTACTAGCCAGCTGTGTTTTTAGTGTCAATGTGCTGTGGCAACCTCAGCAGGGTATAATGACACTGAGTCCACCATTTTCTCCAGAGGAACTGATCTCTGCTACCTAAAGAACAGTTGTAATTTTGAGTGATCTCCAGCCCTCACCTGGAGATTGGCAATGATGGTTCCCCAGAAAGGAATGGTTGGTTTGGAGGGTGGAGTCTATGGCTTTGTACCTGTCTGAGGTCCCACGCTGCCTGAAACCTCACCCTCTCCAGGCTCCATCCCTCACATCTCCAGGAATTTCCCACCTGGAGTTGGCAACCCCATCTCCTTCCCAGCCAATCATCAACCTACCTTTATTTCCCCCTCACTCTTCAGCTTTCCACCTCCCACACACCTGCAGCCTCTCCCATGCTCTGAAGCCCTGACTGCTATGTCACATTGGCTGTCATACAGGGGCCACCTCAGCAGCATATAAGGATACAGAGCCCACCATTTTCTCCAGGGGAACTGATCTCTGCCATCTGGAAAGCAGTTGTAATTCTGAGTGATCTTCAGCCCTCACCTGGAGATTGGACACATTTTACCTCAGAACAGCAAACTGTTTAGAATGTTAGAGGAAAAAGCCAATAAAGTAGCATATGCAAACGACCTCTGTGTTCCGAGCTAAAGGCCAATGAGGCTGCATATGCAAATAACCTCTGTGTTCTGACTGGCTATGGGGGGAGAGGAACAGCAAACTGTTTAGAATGTTAGAGGTGAGACTCAAGCAATGCAGCCAGTGGATAGGGACGGATTCTGAGTGACACACCAGGGCGCCAACCAATTCCGGAGTGTGTGGAATGTTCTAGAGATGTGCTACCACCATTCGGCTTTTATATATAAGGGAGATTAGAGTCCCTAGTCTCGATGAATGGGTTCCTGAGAAATATAGGAACATGGATGTATCTAATATAAATCAGCATTCCTACTCATCTGCCCTCTTTATCCTCATAAATTTTCCTGTACTTTTAGCTTCACTGATTAGATAGTATGTAAATTACTACTTGTATGGTTACTTTTATTCATTTTATGTTAATTGTTTTTATAATTATGCTGCTGTGTTCTGCTATTTTGTAATTTGTAATGTCTTGTTATAACCCAAACAAAAGCTTATGCTTAAAAATAATTAGTGCACCAGACATTGCTTTTGTTTCCTGCAGCATCCAAACCGAGTATTCATTTGCTACTGGGAATGTACCCTTCTGCTTTGTTTAGTATTTTAATCATTCCGCTTTTGTAAGCTTCTCCAGCTTAGTCCTCTCTCACCTGTATTCATCACTTCCCCTTTAGTTACTAACTAATCATGTTTAAAATATTAGCGTGCCTACACCTCGTAGAAGTTTCATGGACGTTCATAATTGTTGATGCTGCTGCTTTGTGATGTTTCTTATCTGTTTGGAATGAAAATGCTGTAGGCATTTGGGGGTATTACATTTGGCACCTCTCGATTGCATTTTGAAGCAGATTAATACCGCAATAGACTCTTTACTTGTATGTTTTTATAGTGACTTCAATTTACTGATATATGCCAATAAAGGCTGACTTGTCTGGAAGGTGATTTCTAGCAGTGCTCAGTATCTTGCATAGAAGCACTCATAAAAATCACACATTGTACATTTCAGAAGGAAAGTCTGACTGCACAAGTATGAGTAAATGTATATGTGAATTTATACAAAAACATAAATTTGATCAGAATGTACCTCTGTAATAGGAGTCTTATAAATTTTATTTCATGTATACGTATGGATTGTATTTGCTAGATAATATCTAGCAAACTCCTTGCCTGTATTAATAAGATGATTCCATCATTTCCTAAGAATTCTTTATTGTAAAATATTACTTTTTGGTGAGGAAAAGTCTTTAAAGTAACTATGTCTGCAGATACCATTTCTTATGAAGCAGTATTAAAGTTATGGAATAATATCCAAATGAATTCTAAGTAACATTAATCTAGATCTGGAGAGGTTCAGCATACTGAGGTTTTAAACTGAAAAGAACCTTGACTAGATGATAGGAAAGAGACCTGTACACTCAAAAAATGGAAGATGAGACTGCAATTCCTTTAGGCTGCTTTATGGAGCCATTTCTGTAAGCTTGGCTGGTATTTGCTGTAAAAGTAGGATATAATAATGCAGTCAAGAAAAAAAGGCTACAGATATTAGGATTTTTCATTAAAAACGAGTTAATGTACTAAAAGAACAAAAGCAATGTTACTCAGATAGAACATTATAAATTTTTAATAGTAAAATGTCCAATGTTTACCTAGGAGTCTCTTGCTGAAGTAGAAGAAAAATACAAGAAAGCAATGGTTTCTAATGCCCAACTGGATAATGAGAAAAACAATTTGATCTACCAAGTGGATACTCTGAAGGATGTCATTGAGGAAAGAGAGGAGCAGTTAGCAGAATACTACAGGGAAAATGAAGACAAATCTAAGGTACTTGTAGTTTATATATTCCCTCTATAATGGACAGTATATACTTCTGCATACTGATATTTTAAAATCCAACAGACCAGGTTTAATGAAAAAGGTGGAAGGGTGATGGATGATAATGTGTGATGGATTATGAGAGAAGTGTACAGAACAGTGGGACCAGATTGATAGCAGACAATGTATATTAATTCTCCAAACACATTTGTTTTATCACCAAATGTTGTATAAAGCTAATGTTACACTCAGTATTAAGCTTGAGATGATTGCTATTTTTCTTAATATAGGAATTGGAAAGGCAGAAACACTCGTGTTCTGTTCTGCAGCATAAGGTGGATGAACTAAAAGAGGGCCTTCGCCAAAGAGATGAACTAATAGAGGTAACTTGTCAAATAACTTACACTGAAATAGATAATCACTTTATTGTTCAACTGAAATTGTGAAGCATTTGTACGCATCACTTACATACATTGAAGTGAGCTTTCCAAGGAAAAAGGGGTGAATTCTGCTAAGTCTCTGTACGGGTTAGCAGAAAATCATCTGTATCTATTCTATATTGTTCCAGTATCTTAATTATCTATCTTTCTTGTATCTTGTTAAGTCAGTGCCAGTTCTGAAATGATTTACCTTTCATCTGAAAAACGCAACACTTCAGTTTTTCTGAGTGACTTCTTTATGGAGTATGTACCACTGAATAACTACTTAATAGCTAATTTCATCAAGTTGTATGAAGTTTGAAAGTATACATAATATTCATAAACCTCTTTATGCATAGCTTGTTACTTTAAACAGTCCCAAACATGCCTCCCATGTCAGATTTCAATCTCAACTCATTTTGCTGCTTTCTGTTTTATGCGGATTACCATTGTTAAGTGGGCATGGTAGCAAATTGGCCCATCTCGTGATTTTGGTTCCAGAGGTGTTTTTTGGCTGGTTCCACAATGGTGGAAATAGCTTGGAAGCAGTTTGCCTTAACATTCAGAAGTCTAACTGCTTGGTCTTCACCATTCCCTGTAGTGTCTGCTACCTTGACTTTAAGGGACTTCTAGCACTGAAGGACATCGATCTGTGGCTTTTAATTTAGAAGCCATCCTGAAAGAAAACTGTTACTATTCTTGGAATTCCATTGCTGTTTTATTGTGGCATCTGTGCAGTCCTACCACTGGGATGTATATGTAGAAGCTGATGTAGCAGAAGCATCTAAAGAGCGCTAGGAGGGGATTGCTTAGGGTAATTTCTGGGGAAACAGGGACAGCTGAAAAATAAGAAATATCTCTAATGCAGTTCTTCCTAGACAGGACAAATTGAGTGTGAAGCACGCATAGATACTTTGTATTTGGTTTTAAGTTGTTTGAAATGTGCATGCAACAGAGAAGCTAACTATAACAGTTTTCCCCACAACATACTTGTTTGCATATGCAGAGCTTCCTGATGAGGGCCAGTTTGGTGTAGCGGTTAAGTGCACAGACTCTAATCTGGGAGAAGCAGGTTTTTGATTCCCCACTCCTCCACTTGCACCTGCTGGATGACCTTGGGCAAGCCATAGTTCCGGCACACGTGTTCTTGAAAAAGAGCAGTTTCTGTCAGAGTTCTCTCAGCTCCACCTACCTCACAGGGTGCCTATTGTGGGGAGGGGAAGGGAAAGCAGTTTGTAAGCCACTCTGAGACTCCCTTGGGTAATGAAGGGCGGGGTATAAATCCAATCTCCTCCTCTTCTTCTTCTGACGTTACCAAGCATTCAGTCATGCAATCTCTTCCTGCAGTGCAAGAGCTGCAGCTGAACTGTTTGTGCACATTTCAGTATAGGATCATTCACAGTGTTTGAGCTGATGCAGGCTGTCATGGACCTGCCTCTGTGTACTTTGGGATTATGAGTATGGTAATGAGTATGAATTCATAAGTGAGCTAACCTTGTGAAAGTCTCTACAACAAAGGAAATACCTAGCACACATAATGCCATCAGTAACTTTGTTTAATAAATGGAAGAAAAGCTCTTAACCCCCTATCTGTATTTATAAAACTTTCATCTCTGTCTTTGGTTAACTGTTCACTCCTGCCTGTTGTCTTGTAATTTCCTTTATTTCTCTTTTTCCTCTCTTTATTCTTTTCCCTGTGTGTACTGCAGGAGAACCAACGCATGCAGCAGAAAATAGAGTCTCTAACCAAAGAGGTGTTTGACCTCCAGGAGACAGTTAATTGGAAAGATAAAAAAATTGGGGTATGAGATCAATTCTGAAGAGTGATTAGGAATAGACTAGTATATGTTGGTATTAGGATTTTAGATGGTTAGAGGAATGAATTGTTGAATGACGTGCTAAGTGGTCTTCATTAGTGCAAGCAATACTTAATGCTTGTGCAAGTCTTTTGCTGATTCTGCCATCTCCCTGCAGACACCCTGAGAGTTCACCAGCACCCCCACCCTCCACCTCCAGAACAAGAGTCTGGAGAGCATGGCAGGCAGAAGAAGGAAGTGGGAGGGGAGCAAATTAAGTTTCCTGAGTGCAGCTTAGAATCCACCCCACAGGTTGTACTGCTTAAAAATTAAAGCAGCAGCCAGTGTAATAGAGAATGTGTCCATTTCTGTATAGAGACCTGGTACCAGCTAAGCTTACAATGGAATGAATTCTGGGGTGAAATAGCTAGTTATATACGTAACACACATATTTGATCCACTAGCTTATGCACTTAGAGAAAACACTGAAGTGATTTGGCTTAATCAGATACAAATCTGTATATGGAGGTTTCAATTAAGTTCTTATGATGCCACAGCTAACTTGAGACCCATTGCTTTCAATAGGAATTCAGCATGATTAAATTTGATTTGAATCTTTAGCTTATTGATCCATTTAAAATGGTTTCCTCTGGAATGTTAAAATAGTATGTAGATTAGATGTAGTAGACTCCCTGATGGTAACAAACCAAGGTAAAAATAAATGTTTTAAAAGGTTTCTATACTTATGGCAGTTCATTCTTGATAAAATGAAATCACATTATGAGCTCATAAAAACTCATAAACTAAATTCATTCTTGATAAAATGAAATCACATTATTCTTGTTAAATTGAAACACCAAATCTTGTGTGTGAAGGACTGGAGAGAGCAAGAGCTTATGTAAAATACCATGCTTCTAAAAATGTCAAAACTAGTTACTGTGGTACTTGATTTAAAGCATAATGGAAAGATACAGGATTTAGATTTTAAGGCTTGTTTGGGCAGCACTTTTCCCCTTAGGATTGTTCCCAGATACAGATCCGTATCTGAACTCAAGCTCAGGCACTCCCTCCTCTATTTGTGAAAATGAGATTCCACAATTAGTACATTTCTTTAGGGTTTAATCGTTTAGTTTGTGTGCTTGCTCTTTCATCTTATCACAGGTTAACCAAACAAGAGATTCTTTGTTAACCGAAGCAAGCTCTCACTCCTGAGCATGGGAGTTTAAACCCAGGAAGAAAAAAATAACATCTAAGCAGGCATTAAAATTCAGTATCTGATATGGGGAGAGTCCTATATAGGCATTGCCCTAGAAGAATTTGCCCTCTTTAGTCTGTTTGGAAATTGAAAGAGCTAGTACTACAAATAGAATGCTTCTAAGAACTCTACAAAAATTCAGCAAGCCATTTGCTTTGTAATTCACCCCCACCAAAAGAACTGGATTTGTCAATTGATGTGTGCAGTTCTAAGCTTAAATGCTTAAAATTTCTGTGTAAGCTATAAAACTAGACATTTCTGCCCTTGATATAACCAACAAGAAGCCCAAACAAACATCTCCAGCACTTAGGGGACTGTTAGCCCATTCAGCTTAGGTATAAGTGCTGGGCAGGAAGTCCAGGACTCCTTTTGAAATAATTTATTAGAATTGTATTTACGTTTAGTGTGCAACTTAATAAATGCTGAAGGTTTGCAAGGTCTTTTGTAAATGAGGAATGTTTGTGCTAAGCCTGCACTTCTGATGGGAACACAGGACTGTAAAAACCTTTACTTTCTTTTTGCTTCTCTTTGTGTTCAATGCTTATCTTCATTTTCAAGACAATCTCTTTTTACCTATCACATGTTCTTTCTCTGTGCTACTTTCTTTGTGCTGCCTGCCTACACCCAGGCCCTAGAGAGACAGAAAGAGTACTTTGACTGCATTAGGATTGAGCGAGATGAGCTCAGAGATGAGCTGGCTGACCTCAAGGAAACAATGAAGACAGGAGAGGTAGGTTAGCTGTAGCAGCACTTTCTGCTGTAAGAATGGGGGAGAGAGCCACAGCCACCATAATGAAGAGTACAAGTTTGCTACTTCAGCATATCCTTCAAAACAGGGAGGTTTAACTGGAGCTGCTTGTATACAGTGTTCTGATTAAATAACTAGTGTATTAGCAAGTTTCACCTTGCATTTAGGTAGTGTTACCTTGTTTTGCAGAAACATGGATTAGTTATAATCCCAGATGGCACTCCGAATGGCGATGTCAGTCATGAGCCGGTGGTTGGTGCAATAACTGTTGTATCACAGGAAGCTGCTCAGGTGTTGGAATCAGCAGGGGAAGGACCACTAGGTAAAATGTGTAGAATCATTTTTCTTACGAATGTTGGTAAATTGTGGTTTGGATCCAAATGAGCACATTAGTTACCATACAGTTAAATTTATTTTCTTTTTTTAAGAAAAAGGAGAAAGCATTACACAAAAGTACTTAGGACACTTCCGAAGTATTTCAAATCTTTGTGCAAGGAACAAAAATGCCTGAGTATTGTCTTTGTATATGTAAATGATGGTGGCCTCACACCAATGCAGTTCGTATCATACCACAGTCTGACCTGCTTTCTCAAAAAAGAGGCCTTGCACTATGTGTGGATACACCCATTTGGCTTATCTTAATACTACATGGTTTATTCTGGAAGGTATTTTTGCTATTGTTTCTGAATTGTGGTATACTGTACTTGCTCTGACTCTACTTGCCCAGGCTAGCCTGACTTCATCAGCTCTCGGAAGCTAATCAGGGTTGCTCTGGCTAGTATTTGGGTGGGAGACCACCAAGGAATTCCAGGGCCATGACACAAAGGCAGGCAATAGCAAACCACCTCTGAATGTCTCTTGCCTTGAAAACCATCACTATGTCAGCTGTGACTTGATGGTCCTTTCCACCACCAAGGCCCCACCTGCAGGCTGGCAACCCTACTGTGCCCATGACGCTGTGTCAGAATTATAAAGAAGTCCACAGGTTCGAAAAGGCTGGGGACCCCCCGCTCTAGAGTGAAACTGTTCTCCATTGCAATGCAGACCCACATGTTTCTGTAAACCGAACAGCACCCAAAAGTATACTTACTCCTTTAATGTAAACCACGCGGCCTGGAGGGCCAGGGGGACCAGGGGGACCAGGCACGCCAGGGTGGCCCTGGAGAGAAAAATAGGAAGGAGACATCAGAAATGACTCTACGACTGTAGGTATCAGCCAAGAGAAGAAGAAGAGGAGGAGGAGTAGGAGGAGGAGGAGGAGATTGGATTTATACCCTGCCCTTCACTACCTGAAGGAGCCTCAGAGTGGCTTACAATCTCCTTTCCCTTCCCCTCCCCACAACAGACACCCCGTGAGGTAGGCGGGGCTGAGAGAGCTCTTTCGAGGACTGCTCCTGAGAGAACAGCTCTGAAAGAACTTGTGACTGACCCAAGATCACACCAGCAGCTGCACATGGAGGCGTGGGGAATCAAACCCGGTTCTCCCAGATCAGAGTCCGCGCTTGCAATCCGGAGCAAGAGAGAATAGATCCGCTCCATCTTCTACGTGACAGCCCTTCAAATACTTGAAGACTGCAATCATGTCCCCTCTAAGCCTTCTCTTTCCCAGGCTAAACATACCCAACTCTTTCAGCCTTTCCTCATAAGACTTGGACTCCAACCCTCTCACCATCCTGGTTGCCCTCTTCTGGACACGCTTGAGCTTGGCCACGAGCTCCCCCTGACCTCCCACTGGTACCGGGGCCAATGTTCCCTCTAAGCTGTGGAGTCCTGTGAGCAAACATTCTACTTTGTGAGCAACTGGCATTAAAGTTGTGAGCAAACAATTTGGCTACTGCATAAGTTAGTTTGCTCTGGAGCCATCCTTTCTGAGCTAAGGCAAAAATGTGTGAGCCGGAGGCTGAAAAACTGTGAGCTAGCTCACACTAACTCAGCTTAGAGGGAACACTGACCGGGGCCTGGAAGAGATCCAGTGACTTTGCAGCCTCTTCCTCCCCCAACCCATTAGATTCAGGCTCTGGATGGTCATGACACACAACTGTTCAGCACTGCATTCCAGAAAGACTACAGGGAGGACATGAAAGCAGCAGCCCTCCCAACAACTCACAGGTACACTGCTTCTGAATCTGGAGGCTCCACTTAGCTGTCATGGCCAGTGTTCCCTCTAAGCTGAGTCAATGTGAAAGAGTTCACAGTTTTTTAGCCTCTGGCTCACATATTTTTGTCTTAGCTCAGGAAGGATGGCGCCAGAGCAAACTAATTTATGCAGCAGCCAAATCGCTCGCTCACAACTTTCATGCCAGTAGCTCCCAAAGCAGAATTTTTGCTCACAAGACTCCACAGCTTAGAGGGAGCCTTGATCATGGCTAAAATCCATTGAGAGATCCTGTTCTTCATGAACCCGTCTACCCCCCCTTTTTAAAACCACCACCCCATCTGGCACTCGCAAAGCCCACACATTAGCCAGCATTGTGGCAAGCAGTACCACCTTTTCTTTTTGCCCGCTCTGACTATTAATAAGAAGTCGTCACTCGGCTCGAACTTACATATAACGTCACGCCCCGTTCACCTTTTATGCCTTTCAGTCCGTTCAAGCCGGGGCGTCCCTGGAGGGGAAAAGGAGATGAATCTGTGCCCAGATATAAGTAATGCTGGGGGGGGGGGGGGGGGGAGTGTGATCATTTTAGCTTTAATTTTTGCTTTTTGTGAGGTACTTCTTAGTGGCCTGCATCTTAGAACTTGTATTTCTAAGATAATTTAAATGAAATTCCATGCAAAAATGTTCCTCATTGTAACAAAAATGTTAGCCTTCCAGTATCAAAAGTCTGTCTTCTAATGGAATTGTTTTCTTTTAGATGTTAGGCTACGAAAGCTAGCAGGAGAAAAAGAAGAGTTATTGTCACAGGTAAAAAAAAAAATTCCCCTCAGAACCAGTCACTAAAGTAGCAGTAAACTTTTGAAAATGTTAATAGTGATGGTTTTATCAATTGTTCCAAAACTCAAATGGGGAGAGTTATGTAACAGGCCCTGGCAGTTCAGCTACAGTGCATTTTCATTATTTAACTCTTTTTACAGGCCTGTAGCATTGCCTGTTTCTTTTCGAGGTCCTGTCCAGTTGGCTAGCTATGCTTCACACTTGGAGGAATACATGAGAGTTATGAAAGAGTCTCTCTGAACTACATCAGTCCTTTGGGTCCATGACAAACCCCATTGCTGTAGTTTAAACAAAGTATCTACTTGAAGAAAACCCCACAGAAAATACATGAAAAGAAACTAATTATCCTAGCATGGCATAGCATTAGATCGGATTCCCATTTAAAGGAACCAGAGGCAGAGCTCGCCGCGGGAGCAGGAGACATGGCTCTACTTTGAATTGTGGCTCTCTGAGCCCGTAAAATTGCTTCTCCGGATTCGTCTTCACTGAAAAATCTGTCTACCTCTTCCCTCGCCAACCTATCCTTAGGGAGGCAGGAACAAAAACTTCACTTCCTGTCCTCTTGGTGGAACACGCCCCTTAGCTCAGTTAGGAACTCCAAAAAGCAGTAACTTGTTAAACAACTTCAAAAAACAATTAATATCATAACTCCTGCAACGAAAAAAACAAGAGAACAGGAAGAATTGGATGCAGCACAGTAGAAATGTAGAAAGGTAGAGAAGAGTAGCAGATATGAAGGCCGATGATAAGGGAGGGCCCAAGATGTCCTCCTTCATCTCAGAGGAGAAGGGCATCTTGCTGGGACCTCCTAGAGCAGTGTCCAAAGTCCGGGTGGGTCATCGTCTAATCTGCTAGAATCTATTGTAGAACTCTCCGGCCGAAGGACACGTCAGCTGAGTCGAAGACGTTGATTCTGTAATGTTTAAGAAAGGTTGACACTGACGACCAGGTAGCAGCTTTGCATATTTCCTCTACTGAGGCTCTATTGGAAAAGGCTGCACTGGTGGCCGCACTGTGGATGGAATGAGCTGAGATACCAGGCGGGGGAACCAGCTTCTTTGCCCTATAAGCTTCAGCAATGCATTGCTTGAGAGTAGAGCTAATAGTGGAACTGGACATCTTACACCCTTTATTGGGCGGAGAGACTGAAATAAAGAGAGATTCTGATTTCTGAAACATGCTTCAGGGATCTATGGACATCTAGTGAATGCCAAACACGCTCCTGAGGACGAGATGGATTTGGACAGAAGGACGGGAGACACATTTCCTGGGATCGGTGGAACCTGGAATTGACCCTAGGACAGAAGGGTGGATGCTCGAAGCCCCGAATCATGCCCCTCTTGGAGGAAAGAGAGAATATTTTTGAGACGAGGTTTCATCGGGTCAGCTGATTTTCTCCTGGTCCATCTCACAAAGGCCTTCCAAGTGGTGTTGTAGATGCGACATGTGGATTGTCTTCTGGATGCTAGGATAGTAGTGACCACCTTATCTGAGTAACCGAGCTTGACTAAGCCTTCCCACTCAACCGCCAGGCGGTCAAGCGCAGCCAGCCTGGATCCGGGTGCCACACTGGGCCCTGTGTCGACATGTTGGGGAACACGGGTAGAATGAGATGCGGTAGGATGGACAGGCACTGAATCTCCAAGAACCACGGCCTTCATGGCCAATAGGGAGCCACCAGGATGACCTCCGCCCTCAGCTTCCAGAGGAACCTCGGGATAATCAGAATGGGTGGAAATGTAAACATCAGGCCCAGTGGCCAAGGAGATATCAGGGCGTCCGTGGCCTCCGTGTCATGGTGATGGAACCTGGAGAAGTACCTTGTCACCTGAAAGTTGCTTGGTGATGCAAACAGGTCTACATCTGGTGGGCCAAAGGTCTGTGTTATTAACAGGAATAGGTCCTGCTTGAGGGACCACGCCACTTCCTGTATCTGCCACCGGCTGAGCCAGTTGGCCTGGGTGTTCATGGTACCCTTGATGTGTTCTGCCTTGATAGAGGCGAGGTGGGATTCCACCCACCGAAACAGCCTGGATGCCTCCTGTTGTAAGCGAGTCGACCTGGAGCCCCCTTCGTGGTTGGTATAGGACTTAATCGCAATGTTGTCCATCCAGACTAGCACATGGCTGCCTGAGATCTGAGGGAGGAACCGAAGCAAGGCCAGTCTGACAGCTCGCAGTTCTAAGACATTTATCGGTGACGTAGTTTCCTGTTGGGACCATGTACCCTGAGTTGGAATAAACTGCTCCCAAGCCTAGAAGGCTGGCATCTGTGATCACCTGTTTCCCATCCATCACGTAGTACGTTAGACCCTTGGAAAGGTTCGATAACTTGGTCCACCATAAGATGCTGGACCTGATGGTTGCAGAGACTTCCACTGGAATATCGCCCCGGTGCATGATCCTGTGTTGAAAGGGTTGTAGGAGATGCTGTAGCGGTCTTGAGTGGAGCTGCGCCGAAGGGACCGTGTCTATGCAGGACACGAAGAGACCCATCAACCTGGCAAGAGTCATGAGGGAAGACCATCTGCTTTTGGCAACTTGCCGACAAAGTCCCCGGATCGGTTCTGCTTTGGGTCTGGGGGAGGAACATTTTGTTCTGGGTCGTATCCAGGAGAAATCCGAGATGTTCTATGGTCTGTGTGGGAGTCAGGCAACTCTTCTGGAGATTAACCAGGAAGCCGTGTGCCCGAAGACATAGAAGAATAGCGTCTGTGTCCTGAATGGATTTGGCGCGGGGGGCGGAACGGATCAGGAGGTCGTCCAGGTACGGATGGACATGCACACCCTGTTCTCTTAGTAAAACAATCGTGTGAATGAGAATTTTGGAGAAGACTCTGGAAGCCGTGGACAGGCCGAAGGGCAGGGCCCGGAATTGCCAATGTTGCCCTTGGACGCAGAATCTTAGAAAGCGTCTGTGGCCTTCTACAATAGGCACATGAAGGTACGCCTCCTGGAGATCTACTGATGTTACATAATCTCCCAGTTGGAAGGCCTCTGCGAATGAGCGGAGAGTTTCCATGCGGAAGCGTCTCAAACAAACAAATCTGTTTAGGAACTAAGTCCAGAATGGCTCTCCAACTGCCGTTCCGCTTGGGCACCGTGAGAAAGATAGAATAGACCCCCCCTGCCCTTGTTGGTTGGGTGGAACAGGTTCTATGACTAGGATGCTGGAAAGGTGATGCACGGCATCCAGGGTCCTTTGAAGTTTGATGCAATCTTTTATCAGAGGTGAGAGGACCAAACGATCTGGAGGCATGTGTAGGAATTCGATGGAGTACCCTTTCTTTGTGACCTCCTGAGACCAGGCGTCTGCGTTGGACTCGGCCCAACGCCGATGGAATAGGAGCAGACAGCCTCCCACCGGCACAGATGCGTACTCATGCATTGGGGGTCTTGTTGCCTCTCTCCAACTTGTCATCTCGGGGGAAGAAGGAGCCACCTGACCAGTTATGGAAGGGGTTGCATCTGAAGGCCTGTCGGGATGTACCCCAGGAATGTCGTCTGCCATCTCTGTTGAGCCTGTATGATGGCCAGGAGCCTCGAAAGGAAAAATTGCCGAAGCCCCTCCTGTCACTTCTGCCAAGCGATCATGGCATCGTCGTCTTCTTGTCTCTGTGAGGATCTTATCTAAGGAGTCAGTGAAGAGACGATCACCCTGGAAGGGGTATGCCGCTACAATGCCCTTCGCATGCAGGTCCGCTTGCCATGCTCTGAGCCATAGAGTGGCGTCTGCAGAAAAAGAAGAGGCCTGGAGGAGTCTATTTGCTCCCTCAGCCAAACGTTTGTCAGAATCAGAGATTAGCTGGGACATTTTTTTGTACCAGGCAATGGATGCCCGAGCCACCACAGTGGCTGTGGCAGTCACCTTGATGGCCATAACCGTAGCCTCATGGGCCTTGCGTAAAGCAAATTCAGCCTTTCTATCCAGGCTGTCGCTTACCATGCCTTCGCCATCTTCCGATAACAGTCCTGAAGTCTGGAGCACTAGAGGGACCTGTAAAAGTTTATCAGTGAAATTAGGTAGAGTATATAATTTCTTAATACTAGCTGGGCAGCTTTTGTTAGCCATGGGCTTAGCCCATTCTTTAACTAATTGTTTCCCCAGAAACTCAGGAAAGGGAAAGACCTTTTCAAAGCTGGGAGTTCTAGGGAAATAGTCCTTGCTTCCCCTGGGCCCATCTGTGGATTCAGTCTCAAGTGAACCATCAAGTTTAGGTTTAGGGATGAGATCTAGGGCTGACATAGTCTTTTTTAGTAGATACATATAGTCTTCAGGTTTAAAAAACCTCATCGAGGGTTCAGGAACCTCCATTTCCTCCTCTTCATCAGAGAGGAACTCTCCCTCCTTCCTTTCAATGGACTCGGTGTCCTCAGCCTGCGAGGGGTCCCACTGAGGATCGGCCTCGTAGGAATAGTAATGATCCTTTCTAGCCGTCTTTGTGGGCCATCTGGGCCTATCTTCCTCTGGGTTTTCAAAGCAGGAAAGGGAAGGTGGGGCAGTGGGGTACCTAACCTCCGAGTGGGGGCCCCTATTCAGGTTGGCAAGCTCCCTTCTCACAGTCTCTTGAAAGAATTGAATTACCTCAGGCGTTAACAGTGCACTTCCACCACCTCCGGATTACTCTCAAGCAGACCGTGTGCAGGCGTCTCTTCCCTGCGGTCTGGCAATCCCTGGGCATTGGCTTATGGAAGCAGCGACAGCCGCCCCGCAGCCTTCAGCCCCTTGTTTCAGGGTTTTGCGCTTTGCCTTCTTGGACAAAATAGTGCCCGCATCGTGCTCCACGGCGGGAGAGAGGGGGCAGTTTTGCGCGCCAGATTTCTTTGATGTCGCAGAGCTCGCTACGGCCGCGGGAGCAGGAGACATGGCTCTACTTTGAATTGTGGCTCTCTGAGCCCGTAAAATTGCTTCTCCGGCTTCGTCTTCACTGAAAAATCTGTCTACCTCTTCCCTCGCCAACATTCCCGGTCGGGGTGTCGGGTGGGATTAAAGGAGGGGGGAGGAGATAAAGGCAAGAATGAAAACAGCTGAAGAGGCCAGAGAGTTAAGTGAAGAGAAAAAAATTTTCAATCAGAAGCACGAGTGCTAGCAAAGTGCTGCTCCCTAGAGAGGCAGGAACTAAACTGAGCTAAGGGGCGTGTCCCACCAAGAGAACAGGAAGTGAAGTTTTTGTTCCTGCCTCCCTATGGATAGGGTGGGAAACACCCAGCAAGATGTCCTCCTCTCAGGGGAGAACTGGACTCTGAGCACATATGCAAAACACTGTCTGGTGCACTATGTCCTAGACTTTTTTTTAGGTTTTATGTAGATTGCTGTCACTTTTTTTACCCAAAGGTGAAG